TTTGCATAACAAATGAATCGCCCGTAGAAACTGCGTTCCATATTTATCCAGACATTTTGTCCGTTTTATCTTTTTATCGTTTACGTACCTTGTGTATCGTAAGTATCCTTCCGCGTGGAAACGAGCATTCGATCAACTTTGAGAGACGAAATGTTTCCGTGTATTCTGCGTTAGTTCGCTCAAACGGGAACGTCGGATAGCTATTGCAGTTTAACAATAGAAAATGTATTATTGTCCGAATGGAAAGCGTTTTTAAATCACAGCGTTTGACCTTTCGCGGCAGAAGTTATGATTGCTTCGCTCGTGATATCGTTTCGTGCATATATTCGTGGATTCGCCGAGTATATTGTCAAAGCAATATCTCTAAGAGTTTTATTTAAAATAAAATAACAAGAAAATAATTTAGGGATTCAGTCAGGGTGAACGTCTTTTTATAAATTGCAACACTCGTCGCTTGTAATTAAATACACGAAAATAATCGAAAGGTAAATTCGTCTTATAGTTTTATTTAAACTGAAATACAAGAAAATAGATTTTTTAGGGGTTTGCTCTTGAAGATTTTTTTATAAATTGTAACACGTGAAATACACGAAAATAATCGAGTGGCAAATTTGGTGGATGTAAAAATGTATTTCGGTCTGCATTTTACTTTCGAATTTTCTCGTCTAGAACGAGATTATGATTGGTGGTAAAAGTCTGAATACATGAGCTGCTGGTAATCCTACTTTTATATCGATTGGTGCTCAGCTCCGCGTTACAGCCGCCAAAAGGTTGCTCCAATCCTTTCGCCGAAAGTCATTTATCAGTCGAACTCGTTTCATCATTTTAAGCCTGCAAGCTTTATGAGATACGGGCACCATGAAATTGGACCGAGTAAATGAAGTTATGTACGCTATATTGCGCCCAATAAATCTGTTGGCAGAATCTTTGAAACGATAGAGAAATTAGGGGCACAGAACGAATTATATTTTGATATTTCAGAAACTTATTTTTAACGTCTAATCGTATTTTATTCTATCGAATAAATATCGACTCTTGCGACTCGAACTTTCAACGATATTCGTTTCGATACTTTTTTCCCCCGCTTGAGAAGGTGGCGAGAAAACGTATCGTCGTCCAAAAAAAGGTTGAAGGATGCTTTGAGGATTCCTCGGGGGCTGCTCGTGTTTCACGGCGACAGAGAAGAATTTCTCGTACCGCGGTCGGGAATATCATAAAACCGATCGCCTCCGTGGATATTTAAAGCTGTAATGGAAAAGAAACGCCCTCGAAGGGGCAAATATTCGAATTACGCGATTGGTTTCAACGATATAGAAAGTTCGAACGCGTAAAGATGTCTACTTATTAAACCGTGAAATCTCGACATGGAACCGAAAATTGACTCGTGAAACTGAAAGGCGACCGAACAGAGGGTTGACAGTGATTTACAAAGGTTGAGTATTATATCTCACTGAGAGGGAAATGTAGTAACAAGATGGAGAAACAGCTGAGGCTCGAGCCCTTCTAAGACCATCGAGTCAATAAATCTGGTTGGCCAAGTATTTCAGTAATGAGTGAAATATTGCGCGCAAAGTAAAGTGGAAGGATCTTTTAAATAGGTGCTACGACCTTTCCTTTTTAGTAGCTGTTCGGAAAGTAATAAGAATTATGGAAATTATGAAAATCGATGATTCAAAAGCAAAATACTTCTACTGTTTATAAACGACATGCGTTAGGTAATTTAAACACGATTTCTCTAAAAACTAACAGAGACACTCCTTCTTAGCTAGCTAGCTCACAGGGAAGTAAATTCCTTCGAAGTTGGTCAAAGTGTTCGTAGGTGAGGAAACTACACGCGATATTTAAACAAAATTATACAAGATCGAGTATCGAGATAATTGCAAGACAAATTGCAACTGCAAACAAATCGCGTCGTGCGGGTTAAGTTCGGAATAAAACGCGCATGTAAATTTAAGTTTGCCCCGTATTTGCCTTAGACTGCATGTATATTTGCGATAAAAGTGGAGATTTGGATCAATCGTGAAAATTGTTCCAACTTGGAAGCATCGATTTTTAATATATAGAGAATTATTATATAATTACAGACGAAGAGTTTAAGAAATTTTGTTATATCTTTAGTGAATTTATAAGATAACACTGTAATTTTCATGTAGTTATCTTTATACGACCAAGTTTTGTAATATTCCTTCTCCCACAAAACAAATCTATCGGAGTTATTTAATTTTGTTAAGACGTTTTTTGGGGGGCATTAGAGAATGTATAATAGTACGAATAAACCTGTTTAATTAAACAGCAGTTGACCGATCGGGAAAATTCACACCTTTTGTTTGATTTCTTCGTTTCGTTTTATTCGTTCCTTTGGTTTATCGCGCGCGGTAATTAAATCCTCTCAAGAACGCAATATGCAGCTTATTCGAATGCACGCCCTCGGTGGAAATTCAGATGTATGAATGCGGGTGATTCAGCGTCGTGCACGTAGACCGTACCCAACAATGCCTATGTTGTGAACGAGCATTTTCACGCAGTTCTGCTTGTTCGCGTGCCAAGCTCTCGAATTCCATTTAAGCGTTCGACTTTCTTAAATTTCATAAGCAGCGATCCTTCGTGCCAACCACTGTGAGAATTATTACAGATTAGTTTCTGGGGCGAACGGGAAAATCCACCCTAATTATTTCAGCTGCTTGGAACGAAAATTACTCGTAAACCGTCGATAATTCAACGTCAAACCGCTATCAATTCTCAAACATGTTTTCAACGTTGCAAAAGTTGTTTGATTTCAAGGGGGAAACACATCTGTTTTATTTATTCTTTATTCGTTGAACGCTTTCAACGTAACCTTGTTTTTTAAAATGAAAATTTGTATTTTTATTCATAGATTTTTCTACGTTTAAAAAGAACAAACTTCTGGACGAAAGATTTTTGTATCAAATTTTATTTTACAAGAACGTTTAATAAAATAATTCTTTATTTTTGTTATGACTGATAAATTGATAACATGTGGTCGCTTACATCTCAAAAAACGTAAATATAATTTTGAAACAATAGATTATCGTCACTCTTGTCTTCATAATGTGTTTTCAAAATGATCTCCGTTTTGTACTAAGTAATAATACAATTTGTCGTGAAATTCGCTTCATATGGTACAATTGCCATTGATTTGTCATTACTCAGTCAAAAAAAAATAAAGAAGTTTCATAAGTAAATAAATTTTTTATTTTATTAAGTATCCCTATAAGATAAATATAATACAAAAATCTTTCGTGCAAAAGTTTCTTCTTGTTTTTGCGTAGAACAAGAATTTCTAAATAAAAATGTTGGAACGACTAAAAAATAAATAAAATAATTGTGTTTCGCCGAAAATTTCCAAATATCGAATATACATATATGGACGAATATCGTCCAATTACGATACCTAAATTTTGCAAAAATTGTAATAATAATTTTGCGTCATTATTGAAGATATATATCGATAAATACGCTACAATTTCAATAATTTCTGTCCCCTTGCATAATGTTCTTGAAGCAATTTTCCAGACTAAATTATTAAAGCATTCTGTGACTAGTCACCAATACATCGCTGAAGTAGCTTTTCATTGCTCGAGTCTTCATAAATGAGTAAAATTACTTCGAAAACATCATCGGGAGGTGCTGGTTTATGTTTACAGCTGTCCAAATTATTTTGGACCTTTGTTTTGACTAACTGTTCCAACACCTCCGACTTCCTCGCTCGACATTTTCATCTCCCGAATCCGTATCTTTCACCACAACGTCACGAAACTTTGGCGTTTAATTTCTGAATAGTATTACTTCCGAAAAAAAGAAATAAAAAGTTTGAACACCCTGCGCGGAGAAATGATTTTGTGGATGGTAATGAGAAAGAGGTTCTCCGAACGATCGGTAGAATTCCCAGAGTTTCGCGCGCGTACAATTTGGCGCGGAACGCGTCGACCGGGAGTGGGGGAAACGAGATGAAAACATTTCTTCAGATCCGTAAACGGTGCGCGGCGTGCAAGCGCCAAGCCAGCCCCTATTCGGTGCTGCGGTGGGTGGCGGAACTACAGGGCCAAGAGCCACAGTTGGTTGCGGGTTGTCGTCATGAGCACATTACGCGTCTTCGACCTCCACGGCGCGACCTCGTGTCCCCGAGTGATTGCGTGATCGTACAGGTGCGCGTCGGGATCGCCTTCGCCGGGGAACCCGCGGATCCCCGAGAGTTCCTTGTGCTTCCGTCGTGTGAGTGCGGGAACCTCTCGTCGCGGTGAACGTCTCGCGAGCACGCCACGAACGCTCTCGCCCTTGGATTTTCCTTTTCTCTCCTCTGCGAGCCTTCTTCTTCCGTTTACCCGCGATCGACGCTGAAAAAATGTGCCGCGTCTAGCTTCGTTCGACCCCATCGATCCACCGATGTCGGTCTCGCAAATTTTGGCAGAGATCGGACCTTCGAAAATTGATCTCGCGAGCGTCGAGGGTAACAGAGACTTCTGGTGACGCAAGGTTGCAGCGCTGGAGGGTAAAAATACCGACGACGAGATTGAATCGGGACTGATCTCCATATTTAGACGGCTGCAACGAAATAGGAGGGTCTGAAACGTCGGAGGAAAGCGACGTCTCCCCGCGGGAAGTTTCAATTAAAATTTTATCGTGCCCGTGGTACGGGCCGACTCTATAAAACGAACGCTTTGTTCGCGGACGGACGGACCGTAATCCCGTCGTTAAACACGGCGAGCGCGACGGGAATAATTGCGATAAGGAAATCGTCGTTGGAACCCTTCGGGGGATCCGTGTCGAACCGACGCGGCGTGACGAGAATGTGGCCGCGGGGGTAGATGGGAGTCGCGGAAGAAACGGGATCTAGACGTTTCGGGGCGATATAGGACAGGGGGAGATTATGTGGGACAGTGTCGAAACGAAATGGGCGGATCGTGTTTAAAAGATTTATGAGACGCTCGAACTCGCGGTTCGAAAGGTCAGAGGACACGTCCGATCGTAGGAGAGCGGTTTCATCGATGAGTCAAGGTTCCGTCGCGACGTCGGAAAAGGACACGGAGTTTCTGGGCCTTTTTCGTTCGCGCTCGAACGCGAAACTGGGACGATCTATCGTCGAATGAAAAAAGTTCTGTTCCGCGAACAAAGTTCCAACGGACACAAAGTGCTATCTCGAGCCCTTGAACGCCAACTTTTCGCGGCACGGACAGAGGGAGAGAGAAAAACGCGAGAACCTGGACTCCTCGTTAACGGTACACGCTTACGATTCTCTGTGATCATTCGTTCTCTATAGGCAATAATTCACACCGAGCTCAATTTATCGAGAAAACGTTTGTATAGTTTTTACGATCCCAAATCCCTCGGATCGATGTCGCGACAGTCGACGGAAGAGTTCAGGAATCTTCGAGAATGTCGATTCGAACTACTGTGGAGAACCAAGAAGTGTAATCCGTTTAAAAGGGTCTCCAGGTGAGCGACGACTACAGAAGCCACGCGTGGCGAACACGAGCATCCAGCGAAATTCTTGTCGAGCAACGATAATCCCTCGCGACTATTCGCGGTATTTTCACGGGTACGGGGAAACTCGGTTACGGGGAACTAATCGTCGTCGGCGAGATTGAATCAAACGAGAGCACGATACCACTCCGGAGACGACGACCAAGGCGAGAGAGAACCTGGACGATCGAAACTGAAACGAAGTTGGGGAAGAGGAGGCGCGCAGGGAAGGAAGTTTAGAGACGTTTCGTTCTCAGTGACGACAGGAAAGAACTTTGAGAACGAGATAACGCCTGGGAGGAAGAACAACAGCGTCGTTAGCCGGTGAATTTGAATTTGAATTTGAATTTGAAAAGCCGCGGACGAGGTTTAATTATTCATAGTCGACCTCGTCTCGACCAAGATGAGCGTCTTCTGAGACGTGGGAGGATCCGGGAACCGTTTTGGCGTACTCGATGAATTCGTTGCTCGAGCCTTGCCAGTTTCGCGCGTGAAGAACAGAAACACGGCAAAGTGAATTGTGTAGTGGTTGCAGATTCGAGACGACCATGGACAGAAGAGAGGTTCGTCTGGCCGTTCGACAGGTGAACGGTCGCTGGTCGAGCAGAAACGGCAAGACAGCTTCGGGATGCTGCACGCTGTTATGCTAGGTAGCGGTCCAGGCCGAGGGAGACACGAATGGTATCCGGGATTTTACTTGCAACGTCGACGACTTGGATGCAGGATGAATCGCGGGGAACAGGAGACCCTGTTTAGGCAAAGTCGCCAGCTTACGAGGATCGTACCCTCCCACGAGGACCTTGTGCTGAGCGTCCTTAAATCGCCGATCAGCCAGCATCAGCATCATCATCAGCCCCGCCAGCAGTACCACCACTCGCATCACTCTCACGAGCATCATGTTAACTGCCAAGGTCATCAGAATCATAAGAAGTGCACGCATTCAGGTACACTAGGTTTAACTGCGACACGTACCCGAATAGTAATTTGATTTTTCCTACTCCCCACGGGGTATTTGTTTTCCTCTCGTTGGCTTGATCGATGGTTGGCTGCGGGCTGAGATTTATACTCGTTCTCGATCGTTTTGGTAATTTAGGAACAACGTTTCGTGAAACATTTGTCCAGTGTGCGATGAATTTTCAGATTTTCTACTTAGTTACACCGTGGTCTATATTAAATGGCAGTAATTTTGTATACTAAATATTATGATAATAATTGTCGTTAACATAGCTTTCAAACAAGATGTGCAATGTTAAATATTATGTAATTCGTTACAATATGCAAGTAGGGGAGTATCATCTAGGGGTTGTAATTTATTGAAATCTTGGCTAAATATTAGAATATTAGACTTGTAGAAAAATAATTTCAAAAATAAAAATATTAAATCAATGCCCAGTGATGATATTATAGCATAAAAAATATCTAAATTGGAATATCAGATTCGGGGAAAAATAATTTTAAAAGTATTAAATTTAAAGTAACGCTCAGTGATGATATTTATAGTGTACATTAGTCAAATAAAAATCAATAACTATGTATATTTAAATATTTTAAAATACAAATTTTAACCAAAGTGTTGTCAAACTTCTCAACATAAACAGCATTTATTTAGAGCAGGATTGTTAAATCTCCAAAAAAGTAACAAATAATTTTGAACATTACCAGGCCATTATCAACAAAGAGGAATATCGTACAATATATTAATTGTTATTAATTAATGACAATTTCTTTCTTTTGTTTAAACGAATTTTGCACGAACAGTCTCATCCAGTCCTGTACTTGAACACAAACGATTGAACCATATATAATTTAACTTTCAATACATATCATGCGAAAGCTATGTTAATTTACCGAGGCTGAATGTGCGTTATTAAAATAATATTCCCTATATATATCGCCATTTGGTATAAAGTATATTTTAAACGTTACGATCTCATTTTATTCGAGTCCTTTCACGAAGGAAAGAAAAGATTTACAAAGGTGTGAACGAATCCACAGAGTGCATTGTAATTGCAAGTATGCATATTTTCGCTCGACGATCTTAGATTGCTCGGTGAGCGTGTTTATTCTATTCCGTCGCCAACAAATCTGACGTCGAGTGTTACGTGTAGTTTAATAATAATATTCGACCTCGGTTTCCTTTATAAAGTATTCAACGCTCATATAGCATAAGCGAGTAAAAGAAATTGCTGTTGCGGTATTTCTGGACACGGTAGCAAGCGTGTACTGTGATTATGAATCTTTTCTGATATCTTTTATTTATTAGTTTGCTGCAAAATAAATGATCGAACGACGTTAAATACAACAAACGAGACGGTCACGTTTATCAAACGCGTTCAATCTATCGATCAGTGGATCGTTTTTGTAATAGTTGACGTCTGTTTTACATAGGAATATCTTAGCGACAATTAACTTTTCACCTTATCTGCCTCGTTGCTTTTTTTTACCGAGCGTTAGACACTGTTTTGAATTTCAGGGTGAAACGTTGATCCATCCATTACTAAAAACCGTAGGTGACTTTCATATCACGACGTAAAAAGCCAGATAGCTAGATAGCGAGAGATTAATTACTGTATTACATGCACTTCGCGATTCCATGTATCTTTTGTGCGAAACATGTCTTCGTATAACGAGCAGCTTACGAGTAATCTAAGGTCGACAAGTTGGATGACTTACCTTGTATATTATATCTACAGGGATTTTCCAGATTAAAGGATCAAATTGTGACAATATGCTCTGCGAAATTTTTTATAAACAGAGGTCGGAAAATGCTTCGTTGAACTATTAAACGCAAATGAAATAACATGGCAACGACATTTATGTAATATTTCTATTTTATATACTACTTAAAGGCGATCGATGGCGTTACCATCTAAAGGTGATCCATATTCCATTAATCATTAATATTCAATTTCAATGTGCCAGCTGTTCTTATCAATTCCAGACTTGGCGTCGTTGATGCATTGCAATTTTTTCACGGCTTCTAATAATGCATTTTTAGACCTCTGCTTATACAATGCTTCTTTCTCAGTGTTACTTAGAGAACATATAAAAACGGTTTGATTGTTTAATTGACAAATACCTTGAATCACCTTTTCAAGGAACACTTTCAGTACTTCGCGCGATTCCTCGAGAATTACATCGCTAATTCCCTTAACACCTTTTCTTAATCTTCGAACATCTAACGTGTTAATTCTTCGTAATTATCACTCGTCACTCGTTCCTTTTTCCGCTTTTCTTCAAGTCATACAAGATGTTACTAAATCAAATTGTCCCACCATTTCAAAACCATTCTTCCAATATTTGTCCAAACGCCATGGTTAAAAGATAATAATACTGAACGTAATGAAATTAAAATTATTCGATTTATATATCCAGAAATCTAGTTTTATTCCCAGAGAAATTGTTCAAGTATTCTATGCCCATCACGAAGGGACAAATAGAATAGAAACGAAATTTTTCAGCAATATATTGTTCAGTTTAACCAGGCGACACGCAGCCACTGTTTAATTCTCCTGGAGCTTTGAAACTTGGAATCATTAGTTGCTTGAGAAACCGCCCGTCGCAGAACGAGTAATTAAATCGAGCACGCGTTTTATCTACGCCCGTACGTAGCCATTTATCAAAGCTTAACGAGTTGTTTTCCATTCTTGCTCATCCCCCATTCCGAATTATTAACTTGCTCGCTGTTCCTCGTCTTTGTGGAATCAGTTCGATCCGTTGAGAGCAGTTTAATTAACGAATTATTTGTCGCGTCGGTGGTCATTGTTTCCCCGCTTAACAGTTTCCAATCCGTTCGAGGGTGTTGAAAACTTGCTCGTGCAACTCGGAAACTATGATCGAACCCGTCCTCGTGGCTTTTCCTTCCGTTTTGAGGCAAGCAAAAAATTCGCAAAAAAAAGTATCAGACCTTACATCCTTATTTCGCATTATACGGGGCTTCGTTGGAAGAATAGCTGCGGCGAGTAATCTTCTTTTAACGGAAGAACTGATTCCACCGACCCCGAACAAGATCCCCGACTCCTATTCTTTTTCAGATTTTGCTCGACTGTACGTCACGTTCGTTGGAAATTATTCAAAACGTTTACTTAATCTTAAGAACGTTGGACGCGGCAATTTCTTCTCTCTGGCGATGAGTTTTACAATTTAAATGGTCGTGCAATCGTTGGGTTTAATTAAAAAACGAAAATGCCAAGATATTATGTCCGGGATTCCCATACGTCGAACATCGAACGTCAGCAAGAATAAATGTTACGAATTGGATTAAATCACGGTGCTGTAAATTGGAAAGCCGTGCACCGTGTGACGCGCTTTTTTTCGCGTTGCGAATGCAAATATTGTACCTGTAACTTGACATTAACATGTTCGTAAATACAAAGGTAAAAAATATCGTTTAAAAGGAAAACGATTTCAACGATAAAGGCAATAATTCCCAGCGAACGTGTCACGTTTTTCGCAAATTATTAATTATTAACCCCAAAAGGCTGATTCTTGTTTCCTTCTTCCGATTTTATTTTATCTACGCGTCGTGTCGCAGTTTCCTAAATTTTAAACGATCGACGAAGTACCTCTGCGGCCTCCGAGCAGGTTGCAAAGAAGAACCCTATTAGCCGCTTTCCTCGAGCGTGGCGGGAACATACCGTTTTCGTCAGCTGAATATAAGAAACGTCGGGTATTCCCTTGCGGTAGGAAACAAGGATGTCTTCGCGGGAATTTCGATCGTTGCTTCATGATTGGAACACATCGATCCTCGATCCTCGACGCTGCAATTCGTCCCGGTTGACTAAACAATTTACGACGACGCTAATGCCGTTATTAATAGAACCTTGTGCGTGACGTATTTATTCGCACTCGATAAATTATCCGACGATTTTACTACGATCATTTTTCAACGAAACGTAAACTCATACTTGGGCATCTGTATTTTATAAGGCAGAAGTTCTTTTTAAATGAAAATTTCTTTTCATATTCTCTTAAATACGTCTTGAAAGCATTAACCCCTTGACGTACCATTTAATTTCAAATAACTTTTCGAACGTATACTGTTTAATTTTGTTTAAATTTGTGCGCACAAGGAATGGTCACGAAAAAGAATAGATTTCTTTCACGAATACCCCGTGAATGGAAAAATGTGTTGATTTTAATATATAAGACTTGATGACAAGTGAGTAGCTTAATAATTGTTAAACTTGACATTAAGAATTTGTGACGAGTCAGACTCGTCATTGTACGGCAAGGGGTTAATACGATTTTGGTACAATGTTACAACGCTATAAAATTTTTACGAAACACCACGTGTAAGAATATTTTTTCGTAACGAGCGAAGATTCGAAAAACTATCTATTCGTCGAGTAAAATACGTAGGAAGAGGGGAGTAATTTTTTAGTTATATTAAAATTAGTAGACAATGGTGACCGTAATAGAGCCTAATTAAGCCTCAGGTAAATCCGCTTCTGGGAGTACAATTACGCCGGTTGCGAGCTTTCGCGGTGATGGCAGAAACCCTGGTGTTGGATGTTCCATCTCTAAGGGACTAGTCTGCAGCTGATGCACGGAACTTGAATTATTCGTATTCGCCATTTTGCCTACCGTTGCGCTAACGCATCCTTAAACAGACTTGTAGTTTGCGAACAAGTTTCCGCGTAGTGGAATAATCTGCGGAGAAATTTATGGACAGAACCTAAACGAACGATAAAATAGCGTCGTTAAACGAAAAAGAAATTCTCCTCAACTAAGAGGAATATTTGTATTATACTCTATATTAACTTCTGCTCCTCGCTCAATAGATTGTAGTTTACATATATTAATACTGTGTCACTTTTCCTTTCTAATATTTGTTTCGTTCCTCGAAGGTATCTTTCTATTATATTATTGAAAATTCTTTTAAATAGGACGCATATTCGTAACTCATCTCTGATATAGAGAGTAATGGTTATAGCAAGGAAAT